GAACAGTTGGTCGCACAGCCCTGCATCATCTTGAAGAAGATAGCAGACCACGGTGAAGGTTGTTAATGATATCTGGTCACTTCTCTCAGCTTTAGCTCAGTGAGCTGTCCGGATAAACGCCCCGCCCCCAATCACAAAGAACGATTCTGTGATTGGCATGTGAGCAGGTGGTGAATAAACCAGTGCGCCAACTTCCTGAGGAGCCCTACTGCTACCCTCTTAGTAAAGGTCTGTTCTGTTTTTCAATGTTTTACTGTTTTAGGGTTTCTTAAGTTCTTATTTCTCTCTGCACAAAATCCAGGATTTATTTTAGAATCACAAGGTTTGATTTATTTTTCATTTTTTCCAATTGCTAGCTTAGCTTAGCTTAGCTTGTGATAGCTTCAGGTTCAGTTTTGCACCTGATTTGTCAAAGAGTTTTCTTAAAAAACTGCTCTCTGATGGACAAGAGTTCTTAAACAATTACTTAAAAGTATTTTTTGTATACATTTTAATAAGTTCATTTTACTGTTTGCAGTTTCTTTATAGCATATTTATAGCAAGTAGAAGCTAGGCACGAATTTTCTTCTTTTGCCATTTTCACACCCATCACCAATTTTATTCACAAATACTAATTAATTATTATTTTAAATTATTATTTTAAATCTGTCAATGAACAGTTACAGCCTGTTTTTTATAAAAGGATTCCATATTTTCATTTCATAAAATAAGCAAACAAACAAACTAGAAATCCATAGCTCCATATGAAAGGAAAATCACAAGTTTTCTGATGCTGGGGGCTTAATGAGCCCATTACATTTTTGGTGCCTGAAAATATCATGGAAACTTTAATAATACAGATTCATCTGTGAAAGCAGCTAATGCATTCCCATAATTCACGAAGAAGTCAAACAGTCAATAAAACCCTGGTTATACTGATTATGTTATTATATTCATTATGTTATGTAAGTAAGTAGTGAATAGTGTTTTTAGCCTGACCCTTCAACAACAAGTTAAGATATGTTATACTGACGGTAAATTGTGAAGGTGATTATTACACTGCTGTAAAATGCTTCTTGTGAAGCTTGCCTTACACATAAAACCTTGATGACAAAGATGATGAGCTAGATTAAAATTATCAAAGTAAATGTAAGGTTTACATGTAATATTATCATTAATCAATTTTA